GGCAGAGAGGTGTTGAGCACCTCTGCAAAAAAAAAAAAACAGGCTTCTCTCCTTTACGGTAAGGTAACCAAACGGATCTCTGTCACACACGAGCAAGTTAGCACAAACCTTCTGCACATCCTGCACTGCGTTCTCAGTGCGGCGTCTCAGCCTTCTCTCAATACCTCCAACGCCGCCTCGTTGCTCTGCTCCAAGGCCCAAACACTCCAAAGATATTTTCCCTCCATTGTCTAGTCTGATTTTTGAAATGCCACTTCAGTTTCCCATTTTCATCAAATGCAAATAATGTGAATAAGCCTTTTTTTTCATGAAGAATATAATTCGTAGGAAAGCATTTTCATGGCAAACCCAATTTAATCTCCATTTTTCCCAAAATCATACAAACATTGATCTCCAGTCTCATCTGCTCAACTGTCACATCCTCCCATCCCACTGTTGCCCTAATTGCACACTGCTGAGTCCCCTCAATCATTTCAGTATCCCTCGATAATGGCAGGATCAGAACTGAAGGCAAAAATCCTCTGCTCTGCAAAGCGGCAATACAGCCTTTCATTTCTGCTTTTGATTCTTCTGTAAAACTGAGGCAAGGAAAGCACTGGCTTATTTCTGATATAGTGATGTTGCACCACAATCTTTTATTCAGTCTGTTCTCACCCCAGTGGATTTTTGTTTGGTATTTTTAACTCTAAACTTTCCAAGCAGGCACCTCCCGTTAGGTACTTGTTCCAGTTGCCAGTCCTACTTCAGATATATACCTTTATCACCTCGCTGAGAATAACAAGATGTTCTTACTCTTTTCGAACACCAGGCAGTCTTGGTCTCATCTAATGCCAGTTCTTGGGCCCTTTGATTTCACCTCAGCTTAAAAATACACTGGGAAAAGACCCTGTCTCCTTAAATTCACTAACAAAGTTACACAGAAAAGGCCTGCGTACCGATGGCTGCACAACATGAGAAGCACTCCTCATCTGCAAGTGGAGTTGGTAAGGGTGGCTCTACAGATGTTAATTTGTTTAGCACCTGGTGGGTTTGGGGTATTTTCAGAGGTTAGGACGTTTATCCAGGACAAGATTTTTCTTTTTCATTGTATCTCTCTATATGGCACTGCATCAAATGTCTTAAACTGAACTACTACATACCGCAGCCACGGCACTATTCTCACTCAGCAAGATAAAAATGATAACAGAGACCACGACCAGATTTGTTTGCTATGATCAGCTCTCTGGTAGCCCCAGTCTACCAGTCAGTAAAAGCACCTTCCCCCTGCTCCAAGTGAAAGCAGGTACACCCCCATGCAGGCTTCAAAAGAGAAGGAGCCTCATCGAGTTATGCCGTGTCTGACCTAGAAGCCCTGCTGGAGCAGTACGGCAGCCTGGCCGCTCTGCTCCCGCTGCTGGACGGGGGCACGGCAGCACGTGTCACTGCCTTGACTGATCCAGTTCCCAGTCTTGCATCCCAGCTTAAAGTCTCCCCTTATGTCCTAAGACGTAAGATGTGCAGTTTTCCACTGTTGTACCTCAGTAGCTCTCCCTCAATATTTAATCTCGTAAGCTGTTAATGCACAGATCTGTGCTAAGCGGTGGGGTTCACCTATTTCTGCGCTCCAAATATGCTTCCCTCTTGTCTGAATGTGGTGAAGGCCACTCTCTTACTCCTCAGACCTCAAGTCAAAAAGAATTCAATTTTAACTCAGTGAGAATCTTCCTACTGTAAGCCTTCCTTTCCTTTAAAAGTATAATAGACAATTTTGTTCACGCAGTACCTTTGCATTTCTTTGCATTTTTATTTATTCACCACAGCTTGAGTTTTTTCACTAAGCGAAATAAATAAAAGCGTGGAGGCAGCCAAGCTGTGTCTCCGGAGACGCAGGCAGCTGCCCCAGCTGCCTCTATGCCAGGGCTGTGCCGCTTGGCCAGCTGCGACGCAGGGCACGCAGCCACTGCCCAGGAGGACACAAGAGGAGGCAAGGCAGAGGGGGTGCCAAGCCAGCATCTCCGCACGGCCCTGCAGCCCAGCCAGCCCGACCCTTCTCTCATGGGGAACGAGCTGCTGCTGTCTTTCAGCTGTGAATTCCTTCCTCCACTCTCCAAGAGACCAGCCACTTTGTTCCCGACCAGAGCAAGATTTCGGTACGTGACTCGGATGTTCAAAGGAGTCAATCAGTGAGCCACTAGCCACCCTAGAAGAAATACATATTACTCCATATGAAGTGGTTCATAAAGCTTCTTGGGACTAGACTAGACAAGCACAATGCTCAAGTGTCTAGTGCTTTTGTGGGAGACACAAATCACCCAGCTGTTGGGGCATATACTCCCTTGGGCTTTCAGCACCAGCTAGGCCACGGAGCCTTTTTCATGGATATCCTTCAAGATAGAAGTAATTTAAACTCCCAAACGCAACTCATCCTACAGGATCTATTTTCTGAGCAGTGTGGGAAGGTACCGGCCTGCACAACCATTTATTAGCACAAATAGGAGTGTATGTTTAACTCTGTGGAATGGGTAGAACAAAGGATTATTAAATAAAATTCCGATTAGTTCTGCTGAAAGCAAAATACCAGCTGGAGCCTGGGGTAACACAGGCATGCTATCAGCAAACATGTGCTGCCAGCGCATCTACGCACGCACACACACACCAGCTCTGACCACGGGGAGCCTCAGACTGGAACAGCAGAACCAAGGCGTCTCCATCATGCTCTGATAGCTCAGGTCCTGCCCTCCGCTAGGCAAAGCCTTTGGCCTGACGGCAGTGGTTGTAGCTTCACAATGGGAACAAGAGCGATGAAACCCAAGTTTTCCAACTTGATGCCCTCCTACCAGTCACTGTGCTTTGTTGGTTTTCCAAGTGGGAACACTGCCACCCAATACAGCTACTGCAGAGTCCCACCGCCTCGGAACACATGCACAGCACATGTACAAAGGGATGGCACCCACAAGCCAGCCTGCCTAACTGCAGCTGTATTCATTAACAGCCCGTCGTTTAGATCCTATTGCAAAAGTTAATGAAGCCACTTTGCGAGAGGGCAGCCTCCCTGAGCAGAAGATAAATAATGTATATAAAAGGGGACTGGGAGGGAACTGGCACATCTTTGCAAGGTCATGCTAGAATGCATCAGTGGCTGGCTGAGGCTGGGCTCCTCTGGTAAGAAGCCTGGAGCTATTTATGACTCATGTAATTAATTAATGCCAACGGGCGTTCTGCTGCAGGCACGTGGGAGACCAAAGGGAAATACGAAGCGAGCAGGTTAGGAAATGTAGTGGAGGTGGGGGAGAAGGATGACATTTCTTGCGGCAAGACATGCTTTGAAGTAATTACCAACAGTCCAAACAGCCAGCAACTCTTTTGGCTACATCAGTACAAAATCAATTAGGAGCTTTAAAAATGCACCAGTTCATATTTCAGAGAGCAGCAAGAATAAGAAGTAGCCGTCTGAGCTAGGGCCGTTGCCTTTCTAAGCGCTGCACACCACCAGACCCACAGATCCTCAGACCCTGCAGCGCGGTCCACAAATGGCGTGACCAGTAGAGGGAGCATTGTTAATGCCTTCCCAGTCGTACATGGTTTTGGATGAGGAGCATTAAGGAAGACCCACGGTTCGATTTTACGTCTCTAAAGTCTGAGGACAAGTTTAACAGACGCAAGAGAAAGGAGCAAAGGGCAAAGAGAAACAGGGGTGTATGCCTTGAAAGCCAAGCCCCTCCAGGCGCTCAGGGCCCCCGACATACATCGCTTTCCCTTTCTGGAGCCAGCTCTCAGACCCCAGGAGCTAAACAAAACTCGCAGATGACATTAAGAACAGGACCATGTCTGTGGATTTCCTGCTTCAGTTTGCAATACTGCAGTCTCACACCGAATACTCAACATGTGGCGATGCTGAGTCACGACACTGCGCTCACACAGACCGTTTGAGGACAATGAGAGCTTAACCTAATTTTGTCCCTTTGTTTGTCCTCTGCGCAGAGAAGATCAATCAGTTCCACTCACTGCCTTCACATCCCTGTCCATCCAGTGCCTAATACATTATACAGCAAAACTGTAAACACAAATAAAGCGTGCCCTTTCCCTCCCCAGGTGCCCTGAAGTTCTTCTGGGTTGTCCAGCTCCCACCAGCCTGCATCCTCTGTCACGTCTCTTTGTTGCCAGAATATCTCCTATCAGTTCCCAAACGTATTCATGCATTGTCCCATCTCTCTCTTGTGATCACAACTGCCTCCAACAAATCCCCTCACACAATGAGGGTTGCAAATTTGCTTAGAACCCAATGTTGGTTTCCATTTCTACTTCTCTCTGCTTGTCTTTTCTCTCTGGATACTTGCAGGGGCCAAGCACCACAGCATCAGTCTGACACTGCCATCTGGATGAGCAGCAGAGGCTGCCTGCGGTCTCAGTCCTGGCTGACAAAGCCTGGGAGGCTGCAGGATGCTCCCCTTCGAGCCTTACCCACCTCCACAGTCTGGGGGATCTTGCTTCCTACCCTCTGATCTCTGCCAAAGCCCTTAGATCCTAGCTGGTGGGACTCCCTACCGCTATCTGCTATTTTTTCTGGAGCAAATCCATGCAAATCAATAGCAGGGATTAAAAAAAAAGAAGAAAAGAGTAAATGAAATGGCAGTCGGGTTTAGTTTCATGAATATATATGAGTGAGTAGAACAAGAGCAACAAAGTACCCCTTTCTGGTGGGCTGAGAATCGACACGAGCCCTGAGCCCCAAGTCTCCAGGGTAAAACACAAGCGAAGTAAACGACAACACAAACACCCACTTAGCATTCGTGCTACATACTCCTGATCTGAGCCTCACCAGCTTTAAGAACGCTTCTGTTAAATACTGTAATGCTCCCAATTACAAGTGATCTGGATTGTTTATTTTCTAAACAGATTTCCCGCCCCCCCAGGAGATCCCATAAGCCTAAGACAAAAGCAGTCTTGAAGAGGTGTTTCAGTCTCTTTTGGCTATACAATATCCACAGCTGGCTCGATTTTCCTAACTGTTTCATACTGACCTTGAGGATATTTCGGCCATTAAACGACTCCCGTTCCTTGAAAGATGATTTACCAGTCATTGTATTGTTTCGCTCTTCAGCTGTGAAGAGAAAAGCCAACACCAGAATGAGCTTCAGATGGGAGAACTGTGTGTGCTGTACTTCACCCCCCCACTCTCTCCCTCCCCAAAGTCAGCTGCCAGCTAATAAACCATCTTTGCCCAAAAACACTTCCACTTTGGTTTTAAAGAAAACAAGGCTGAACACACAGGAATCGGTGCCTTTATTGGGATCGCCTACATTACCTGGAGAAAAGACCCTAAATGATAGCTACTGCTAGGGTGATTCTGTAGGGCTGATGGCTCAGTGCAACACATCTGCTTCGCTCTGGCTGATTTTAATCCCACATCCTGCCAGGGTGAGAGTCAGCACTGTGAGCGCTTGCATCACCTGGAACAGCACCAAATACCAGACGGAGCGTGTGAGCACAATGCCAGGCACGATCCAGACAGCACCTATACCAACCTCTGCTGCCTGCTCTGGGAAGCACATACATGTGGTGTGTACGCTTCTGCGGGGTGGGCACGCAGCCACACACACAGACATTAAGAATAGCAACCTAGGCCTATAGCAACTGCCAAGTGCCTATGTCTTAGATCCATTTCCCCAGAGCATGTCTGGGTTTTTATATAATCCCTAAGTACACTATCTGTTCTTTCTACAGGACCTCTGCCTCACTCAATGAATATATTCAGTATTTCTTTTTCATCTCCAGCATTAACTATGAGGTCCCACTTACGTCTAGCACGCTACTCAAATCCGCTATTGAATATAAAGCAACTTCTATGGCTATCACCCATCGTGTCTGAATGCCTCACACGCCTCATGGGGTTTTCCAGAATATAGATGCAGCTGCCCATTGCCTCTCCTAACAGAGAGCCACAGCAGCACTTGGGGCTTATGTTTTCACCAGTTTTCAGGGCTCAGTTGAGAGCTAAGCCCCATCTTTTCAGGGTTTCTACTGCCCGAGTACCCCTATCTGACTTCAGTAGCAGTCAATCCCAAAATCTGCCACAGAAAACTGTAACACAAAGCACCTGCTGTTATCACTGTCCATACAGAGGCAGTAACTGGAGAATACTGGATATAATCTATCGGCATTGTGCAGAGGCCACCGCGCCAAAGAAAGCTACACAAAGCTTTCGTGCAATGCTGTTAAGGCTTGCAAACTACCCACCAGCACCAGCGCATATGCATGCTTGCACATGGAGAGCAAGGCTGTAACACACTGTCCCTCCCTAAATGCAATGCATCTGAGGCTGCTTTATAAAGTACTGCAATAAGAGCGATGCTGCAGACTGCTAGAGCAGACAATCTTTTGGCAGAGACAGCAGACACTATACACTCAGTAATAGCTCATGTTCAGCCTCATAGCCGTCTGAATTTGATTTAACGAGAAAGACACTGGAATCAGGTTCCTAAACCAACAGGCAATCTTTAACTTGACCAAAGAGGATCACATTTTCATCTCGTTTAAAGGTCAGCACAGCACATTGAGTTGTTACTGAATTTCAGTTTGGGGCACAGAGAGCCCAAGACCTCACATGGTACTTGAATACATTCCTCTCTGGCCCAGAGTTCTACAGGGCGCTACTGTTTCTGAAGCTACGACAAAGAATCTTAGAAAAGATCCAGAAAGTGCTCAAAGCACGCCTGCCTTCTCCAGCTCTGCTGCCTGCTTTTTCATTTTCTTCTGGGTTTTAGTGACATCCCCCCACAACTGTGGGTATTTTTAAGATTAAGAAAAATCAGAAAATAAAAAAAAAAACATAAAAGCAAACAACAGCATTTCCTGTTCAGAGGTATTACTTGAAATGCATTTATCAGTAAGGAGAAGGGATACCCACCACTTGGATCTTTCCTGAAGAGAGTGTTCATGACTGTAGCATGCAGTTTCACCCTATCCCATTCTTTAAGCATCAGGCCGGAGGCCACAAACCTTTCCACCAGTTGATCCGCAATCACCTGCAATCTGTCAAGGCAAAAAGAGAAAGAACAGAGTAGCATAAACCAAGGAGAAATCCCTGCTTCCCGCTTTTCAGCCAGGGAAGGCAGCACGTGTGAAATAAAGTCTCTGCACCCACACGGGGAAAGGGAGCTAGTCTCTGATGGAAAGCGAACGCAGCCATCAGGATTCAGTTCTGGCTGTTTCATAAAGCTTCCTTGATGATCACTTCTGCTGCAAATATTCCACAAAGAAGGGCAGATTTAGCATAGCAGAGAGCTTGTTCGCAGTGACAGATGTTATTGGGACTTGAAGGATGCATCTTTCTATTGCCAGGAAACACCATGTGACTCTCCTTACAAATGCTAAAACCTACAGACCCCCAGGGGGGCTTAGGCACCTTGACTCCTGGAAGACCTGCTCTGTTCATGGACTGTGACCTGTCCGGTGCACTGGGATGGATCTCGGACCCCCTCTGTCCCAAATAAGCAACCTAGTCAGCGGGCATAATTTCTGGAAGAGCCCAGAACGTGGTGACAGAGGGCACAATCCCAGACAGCACACCCTGGTGAATGCTCCAGCTTCGGAGTTACTGAGCAAGCAGAATCAAAGGACTTCTTGCCACCTTCTTGTCTGGTCTCAGTCCGGGACGAAAGAGTCCGTGGCTGCCGGGATCTGCGGGCGGGCCCGTCCTAGAATAGGCAGCGGGAGCAGGCAGGCGACTGGAGGAGTGCGCTCACGTATCCTACATCTAAAGAGCTGAAGGAACTTCCAGGCTGCTGCTGTCCCCCACAACATTTCTGCAGTGCCCCAGCCTTATCAAAAACAGCAAGAATGCACTAAACAAGAGCTTCTGACACTCGAAACCAAGGCAAGAGCATATACGTCTATGCAGAATAATTTGGGCTCCTCTTGCCACGTCCAAGGGCTTAGACAGCTCTCTGCTCCACCAGGTGCCACCACTTTGGTGTCCCTGGTGCAGCAGGAGAGGCAGAGCATGGCCTCTCTGAGGCTGTCCCCCAGAGCTCAGGGCTGCCACGCTCCAGATGCCAGCTCCTACCCCCTTGCCATTTTGTATTGGCCCTCATGGGCTGCCAGCCCCGGTGTGATGATTTCAAGACTCTCAAACTACCAATTGTCATGGCTTTCTACTACTTTCTGGCTTTACATCAGTGATTTTTAAAATTAGCAATGACAAAGATTAAATGAATGTAATTACAGACAATACTAAAACAAATTAACAGAGAATAGCTCAAGTGAAAATGGTGCTTTATTACGTTATAAAGTTAATCAAGGAAATAAAACAAATTAGAATGAATTATAATGGAAATTATTTGCCGTGTGGGAGGCATCAGAGCATGATCCCTCTCTCAGTCTGAGCCATTATATGTGCAGAAGGGCTTGCCAGCCCCTAATTCTGTCTGCAGTTATGCAAGCTAAGTCAGGGTAAATCAAATCTCCTGCTTTGTAGCTTAAGCTGATCAAGACCATCCAAAGATCAGGAAGGAACTCCACTCCTCAACCATGCTAGTAACTACACTGAGCTAGCAAGACGTCTTGCACGAGACAGGAACGCACACACCTCTCTTAAACGTGGGCTGCAGCAGCATGATCTAGCACAGCAAACCACATGGCTGCCGTGGTTTTCTACCTACTTTTCCCATTTCCCTGAGCAAAGCACGCAGGTGTTAGCGAGCAAGAGGTGCATGGAGCTGCTCAGCAATGATCCATCTAGCAGATTAGAAAATAAAGCAGAGTCTTCTGGTGGGATCACCATTTGTCCAACACTGTGTCTGCTGGAATATCAAAGGAAGCAAAACAAACTTCCACTGCTCTCCTTCAACACAAAAATAACTTCCTTCCCCTCTGCAAAGCCAAATGTTTTCGGATGCTCACTAACAGTTAAGGAACTATATTAGGGGAGAAGCGCCAGGTGAACTAATTCACAGGTGAGGGCAGGATCAGCCTTGGCCAAGGATAAAAACTTACAATCGCTTGGCCCTCTCCGAGCATGCTGCTATGCAAAAAGCAAAAAAGATGTTGTGGAAGAGAAGCCTGGCAGCCTCCAGGTGCCATGCAAAGCACAAGATCTGGGTTTGGCCAAAACCTCAGCTAACAGACCTCTGTGAGGGACAGAGGAGACATCAGCCCTTTCTCAGGGGGGCTGTTTTCAGTTTTAAGCCAAGGTGGATTTGAAGGCTCGTTTCTCTCCCCTGCTAAAAGCAGCTCTGCCACCCCCAAGGCACATCAGCATGTTCTGCTAGCTAAGTGGGTTCTCAGCAAAACGGAGACAGTAGGCATCTGAAGCAGACCACAGTGCTAGTACCAACAATTCAAGCTGTCCCCAGACGCAGGCAGACATTGCTGTCCACTTCAGGTCCTATTTACGCTCTACAGGATTTTTCTACTAGCTCCTCAGGTCGCAGACTTACTTTCAGATGCAAGCAGAGTCGCAAAGCACTGTGTCTCAGAGATGATCCAGAGCTCGGTGACTCAGGAGAAGAGGCCCGTACCTCAGCTCCCAGAGCTGACACTTCGGATACTTTCTACAACAAACTGACCAAAGGGCATTTGGGTCATTCAGTGCCTGCCTCCATCTCATCTTTCTGAGTGCTTCTGCCTTGTTTCTCCCTGCACTTCTGTCTCCTGGCTGATATCTAGCTTGTCCTGGTTCTCCACCCTCCCCGTTTATCTCACCTCTTTCAGGGTAGGACAACACTTCATGGAAAGAGATTTCAATTCTTACTGCCTCCCAGCAATTACATTTTAATTTTCCCACCCATTCCTTCATCTCACTTCCTATCTCTTACTTCAACACAGCCTCCAAAGTGCAGTTTTAATCAGGGGGCCCCTCTTGATTCCTCAGCCCTCAGGGAAAGGAGATGCCAGGACATGTCCTTTCTTCCTTGAGCTGGTCCCTGCTCACAGCCTCCCACCTCCAGCTGCACGGCTTCGTGCTCCTGCTGTCCTCTAGCAAGGGGAACAGACAACAAAAGGGCAGCACTGCCAGAAAAAGCGAAGGCTAAGGCTCAGAGAGAGAAGAATAAAGCTCTTTTGGCTACTCTCCTACCCTCTTTCCCACCTACACCTCACAACCGGCAGCATGGACTACAACAGTTTCCTCAGTCCTCCAGAAAGCACTAAGAGATGGTACCGCCACTGGTGATGTACTTGTCAAAAATGAGATGGAGGACAGTTGTCCAGACACTGCCACATCCCTGGCAGCACTGTTTGTAGAGCTAAAGCCATCAGCCACAGCGACGAACAGCACACACAGACACCAACCAGGCTTCGAGATTTCACACTAGCAGCTCAGAAGACAGACAGTTCACACCCAGCGCCCATTCCAGGCTGCTTACAGACACAAAAACCAACTCTGTAACCAAGCCATGCTCTTCTGAGGACCTTATGGTGTAACTGGGATTTAAGAATAATTAAGTGCTGCAGAATATGCCAGGCTGTCCAGATTAATCTGGATTGCAGGTTAGGAACTAGACAGCAGAGGCCAAGTTGTCCTGCCTTCTAAGTCATCTCGGGAGTATCTCCTTGGCCATCTTATGACTGCAGGAGCCACCACTCCATTATTCAATGTGACAGACGGCTACAGAAACAAATGACATCTTTCAGCCGTGCCACCGGTGACTGATTTAAAGAGCAAACACATCACTGCCTTAACCAGTTTAGGAAGAAAGAATGACTTAATCTTCCTGACTGCTGGCCCAAGGACTGCTAGCAGTACCCACCAGCTTCAGATGGCAGAGGGTTTCTCTGGCACACCGCTACTGCTGCTGCCACACATCGAGGAGGAATAAAAGAAAGGAGCATGGAAAACTCACCTGTCTGAGCCATCCTTCATGTGGACTTTGGCATAAAGGACATCCATCATGGCAGGGTCATCGTTCATGTACTCCACTCCTGCCACCTCCACGGTCAGGGGCTTGCCTCCAGCAATTTGGCTAAAATGCAAGAAATCCCTTGTGTTAAAAAGCAAAACATCACACCTGCTTTTGAAATATAACGCATAGTACTCCTCATGCACGCACTAAATATTTGGGTTTACTAAGGGAATGACATAAAATACATTTTTTGCTATAGTTAAACACAACTTTGAGGTTAAGCAGGACTTACAATGTTATACAGACTGTGTGGGGCAGTGAACTCCGCTGAGGAGTTCTTTTCTTTCCCGTATGTTCCAGGTTGTTTGCGCTGAATAAACCCAAATACAAAAAAGGCTCCCTAACTTCTAAAGCTTGAAAGGCTACAAGCTGCTATTTGTCCCTCCATCTCAAGAATATTGTAAAAACATTTGAACTCATACGTTTGGTGCTTTAGACACTCATTAATTCAACTTGTCAGTGTTCACAGGTCATCTCAGCATGGAGATCTCCATTTACATTTCACAAAACCCATCAGCAATAAAATGGAACACTTTCTCATACCAGAGAAGCTCCTGTGAAAAGAGCGATCATGACACAAAGTCTCCATCTCGTTTGATTTTCGCTGGGAAAAGTACTCGATACAGAATGCAGTTTTAAGTACATTTCAACATCCACTTACAAATGCTGGAAGTAAATAGAACTGTTTTAAAATCAGCTCCAGCTACTCTTCCAAGAAGGCGAAACCGAAAATGCGTGCAGGATATAATATGCACTCCCACACCTGCAAACACACTGTGAAGCGTATCTGCTTCCAAACACGCCGCCTCCTTGCCTTTACCACCAGAACATCACAGGGAGGGAAGGCGCCGCAGCGAAAGCTCCCTGTGAGTAAGTGCCGTTGTCTCATTTAACACCGAGGTCTCGTGGAAAATATAGGGAGTGTCTGGGCAGGCAGAAGTAATAAACATGAGTTAACAACGTGAGCGTGACTTTGCTCTAACCTTGCTCACTTCTGTTTGGCCTGCCCTAGAGATCGACTTTGAGACTCTCTGCAAAGCTTCCCAGGTGGAATAAGCAGAGTGTGAACTCCCCTTCCAGTATGTTTACTGGGAGGAAAACAGCACAAGAGCACTGTTGTGCACATCACACCGAGAGCACTAAAGGCCACGCATTCTAAAAAGGGTCAAAAAGGGGCACATCTACCTTTATATGGCACTGCCTGCATTTAGAGAAGCAAATGAACACTAATGAAGGTTTATGTGGGTGGAAGGAAGCCTAAATTAATTTTCAAAGCATGTTTATTTGGGTATGGCAGAGGAAATAACCTAAAGGTTACGTTCAAGTGTTGATTCCCCCTCCACTAAAGGAAATGGAGGGTAGAGATTTTGTTTGCCTCAGTTCAATCCACTTATGAGGAAGCTGGCATTTCCCAAATATTGCAGGCAGACCCTTCCCCTGGAAATGCGCTTGCATTTCTGTTCAACAGCTGAACAACTGGAGCCATTATTCTAAAGGCAGAGGGATGAATTTTGGCCATGCATTAATTCCCACAGATATTAGCTGGCACAGCGTGGCTAATTCTTCATGCACTGAGGCAATAAATAAATAAATCAATAACAATCAAGGATCCGTGCTCTATGTGCAAAGGCTTTGCAGAAATAAATAAATAAGCCAATCCCTCAGGCCATCTCCAATTTCTAAGCTGAACAGAGATAAGCTAATTACAGTGTCATTCAACCACATTTACAGTTAAAGCCCTAACATCTGCAGCTCAGTGTTAACAGGCAGCGAGAAAGCCCCGGTCCTGGAGCAGCACAGAACGTTTCAGACTGATTATTCACAAGGCTCATGCTGGCTTCCCTGCACACAGCTCCCCGCATCAAGAAATGCATGTCAAGGACACCTCAGCATCTGCTCGGAGGCAGGAAGAGAGCAGCGTGCCAGAGCCCACTGCAGGCAGCACACGAAGGTAACGGAGCTCGTCCCTCCCTCTGCAGCAGGCAGAGGACAACAGCAAAAATTGTTCATACAAAAATAACAGGGATGCACGTGAGAAAAAGGGAATGCTGAGGGTTTGAGCTGAGCTGCATGACTGCTCGGTGATTTCTACTGCTCCCATTTGCAATGTTTCAGCCTTTTTCTAAATGTCTCGAGTTGAGATAGACTGTTGAGCTGCTTTTCTCTTCGTTGGCCCTTGTCAAAGACAGCTTGCTGTTTTTCCCCCACTCACACCCTTGGTGATGACATCCCTTTTTTATCACTTACTCCACAAAGTCCTCTTTGCATCGCTGTAGGAGGTCACACGCTTTCTGGATCTCTTGCTCGTTCAGAAGTACCAGTGTCCCAAGAGTCAGATGAAGCTTTGCAGAGTTCTGGAACAGGCTGCTGCTGACTCCGTGATCCTACAAATCAGTCAATCAATCATATACAAGTGTCTTATCCACAAACACACCCCCGCTCCATCAGAGGGATAAATACTACAGAGAACAGGTACCAAACCTTTTATCTCTTCACCACTGATCGGGTTGCTAGTGGCTCAAAGTTGAAACGAGAAACAAAATTTCACAGGCTTTGCGAGCAAGCGAGCTCAGCCTGGCCGGCGAGCTGCAGCACCCTGCTGCACACACGCTCCCTGCCTGCCTTTTCGGCGGAGCTGCTAAACAGCAGCCTGGAAGCTCCTTACGACAGGCTCTAACTCAGGACCCAGGAACAGCACCACACACTTGTACAGGACTTCGAGAGGAGACTTCCATAGTTGTCAAAGCGGCAGCTGCCATCAGCAATGAACTCGACACAAGTCAGCACAGATTTAAAACTTGCGTTAAAGCCCATTTTTTTGTGCAATAAAGCTGGAACCAGCTGTAGTGACAAGCTCTAAATGGTCTCTAAATCCTGTCTAAACACAGGTTGCACCTCACAACCCAAGCACAGCTAATACCAGCTCTGATAATTACCTTTTTCTTGTTCCCATGTGCCCTATAGTTTGCCAAGATGAATTAAGTTTAAATCCCTTTTATAAGAAGAGCTATGTGTTGTTGCTGGGGAAGAACTTGTTCCCAGGTGGAGCAGTGGTTACATTTACCTTTAAAAAACATGCTCTTTTGTTCTAGGATAGTTATAAAAATACCTCGAGGATGGTTAACGCACCCATATTAAAACAATTATTTCCACTTAGTGGCCATTTCCCATCAGCACATTAAATAACCTCCACTTTAACTCCAGAAGAAGCCAACACCACTTGCCACACCACCGAAACCTTTCTCTCTCTGAAAAAAGTCCTCTGACTGAGAATGACAGCTTTGAAGTTTCTAGCTGTGCTTCAGTTTGAAATGACACTTTTCAGATGTTTAAACACTGCAGTATCACAGCCCATCAGAGTTTAATGCTTCACATCTGACTCAGCATTCTTCCTGTCTAACGACAACATCCATACTGTTCTTTACAGCAGTGCTTATGGGCTGGACTAGAGACGAGCCAGCCTGCAACATGGAGGATATCGTCTTTATCTCAACGCATGAGTTTTACCTTTTATTTTTTTTTCCAATTCTCTCCCCCAATTCCACTGAGCGGGGAAGGAGCGAACGGCTATGAGGTGTTTAGCTGCCTGCCAGGTTCAACCACAACAGCATGTACATCCCTTCCACTGCTTCTAATTACTTTCTTGCCAACTGAAAGCCCAAATGGTACCATGCTAGTAGTGGCAAAGCATGTTGCAAACCTCAGCACCATGCAACAGCCTGAAACAAGGACAGAGTAACTACATCAAGGCCCATCAGGGGCAGAGGAAAAAGGGACGGCTCCACCTCACTTCTCACCACCTTCCCCTCTCTGCAATAAAAGCCTTTCGGCTTCTTTTAATTCACACTGCTGTTAACATACATGACAGGACATGATTTCTCTCCATCAGCCGTTTGTCTCCAATGGTATCCGTAGCCAGAGGATATTTGGCCCATCACAAAACAATAGCTCAGGTAACAGAAACTGGGAGAAAGTTCAGTTTATCCTTGCCACGGACAACCAGCCGATGTCACTCCCACAGTGCACAGAGATGGTGTACAGTAACAAGAAAGTAGTTCACAGGTCAGAAAGCAAAAGCCCTACCCTCCTTTTCTGTCCTGGCACGATTTGTACTGTTAGACATAAACCTGCACAAAAAGCAGCGTTTTCCCCTGAGCTTTCCAACACCTGAGTGAGGGCTGATACCTGACAAAGTGATGGCACGACACCTCCACAAGCCACGCTACCACTGCTGGGGGGGATTAGCAGGGAAGAGCAGTGCACAGTGAGCAGGCCAAGACCTAGATAATCTTCCTGGTTTACTCCCTAGTATTTCAGGCAGCTCCTAAAAACCATGCTTACACCACTACTCTTTCACAGGCAAGCAGATCCCACTTATCCCACGCATAAAATAGATGCTACGTCAGAGGTAGCTCTCCCTGCAACAGGCAATGCTTCTGCGGGCATCTTAGCAGCCCTTCATGGCTGGATGCTGCTCACTGAGATGCAAAAAAAGCTTGAACCCACTTATTCTAATTCCAGACTATGATATGCTATCAGCAACCACTGTGTCGCCTCACGGGAAGCTGCACTGTCCAGTGGTATGAGCCCTCTGCAACCTGACCAGCAGGGCCAGACAACAGCAATGCAGAGCCTAGAGGTATGTGTTCATAACTACTGCTAAGGAAAAGTCACATCCTCCTCCAGGGAGAACGAGCCCAAGAGATGTGAGCCTGTCAATGTTGTGATTTTGGGGCTTTATGGACTTCCAAATACCTAAGGAACCCTCTCAAGTTAAGCTACGACCATAAAAGCAGGCGTGAAAAGTGAGGTTCAGCATCAGAGATGGGCAAAGGGATCCACGGGGATCTATGCCATGCTCTCCAAGTGCCTCTTGGCAACAAGCTCCTCTTTCACCAGTTTCCTCCCCCTTGCAGTGGAAGGTGGGCACTCCTCATAGCACAAGTGGCAGTGAGGAGCGGCGATGGCTTCCAGCCCTAATGAAAGCAGAGCATCAGATTAGGGGAGGTGAGGTGTCACAGCAGGGAATCCCCGTATTCTACAAGGGAATCTGAAAGCAGCATATTTGCAGGAACTCACTGGCAGATACAAACACAAAAAGCAGACACTGTCATGTTTCTAATAATTTACTGTTCAAACTTCGGTTGTCTAAGGATGTGCTGAGAGGCAGGAAGAATATCCCCTTTACCTACCATCTGTATGTGATAACTGCACATTTTAGCTTATGCCCCTCCCCAACACTGCCCTGTCATGGTCAAAAAACCACCTCATTTCCACTCAGCCTTAAACTTACATTTTTTTCCTCCCTCCTCCTACTTAGACTTCTATCTTTGCTCTCCTCTTTTGGAAGGGACACAGAAAGGGTTTTATCTGGAGTCCGCCTCTCTTTGCAAAGCCAAAGCATGTTGTTCCTCCAAATCTAAGACCCTGTAGTAGGGAAATTATAGACCACAATACACTTCAGGCCTTCTACATGACAAGGCAAAGGATCAAACTCCTCAGCTCTTCCTCCCTGGCTGCATCCTCTCTACTGTCTTAAGAACTTCCAGTATTTGCAGAGAGCTTTATGATTTTTTTTTTCTTAATAGCAGGATACTGCATGCCAGCTATATGCCCTCACCCACCCTGATGCACAAACAAAGGAGCGAGCCAGAAAAACAGCACCTCCTCAGAACTGACTGAAGAGCTGCAGGCTGAAAAGCCCCTCCCACTTTCTGTCCCTTCCACTCCGAGATATAATATATCTCATTAGCAATGTTTGATATTTACAGGTTGCCATATATCACAGCAATCATATTTCTTGCCCATGTTACATCTGCAGCCTGTTAAGCCTGCAAATGCTGTGTTTGCACAGCTCTGAAAGACGCAACTGTGATTTTTCACGGCAATATTACTGCAAAGTCTCTTCCCTTTTCCACCTGCATACTCAGACAGACGTTTCAGTCCTCCTCACTCTGACACCGACATGACTGTGCGAGGAGACTTCCAAGGTCATCCAGTCATCCGGACCTGCCACTGCACCACATCCATAATGACCTTGCCCAGGTGAGGCAGCTCCCCACATTTATATCAAATTAGCCTCAAAAGAGCCTCCCCTCAGCCCTGCTTCATTGCCTGCAGCCCTGACCATACGACAGTGTGAACGACACCTGAAGTGTTCCATATTTCAACACAAGGTTCACCTTCTAAAAGGTCTTAAAGACACACAAAAAAAAGTTAGAAAGCATACACCCGCCAACATAACCCTATGCTATAAAATATAAATGAATGGTTGTCATGGTAACTGCTTCAGAGAGAAATAGAGTCCCTCACAAATGCTCAATGGCCAGAAGAAATCCTCACACACGCACACCTGGTCCTTTCCCTTCCTTACTGTTATTACCGAGCTTCATTTAAAGACTGGAGTTTATCTAATTCTGCAATGTTTCGCACCAGCAAAATTGCAACAGGAAGAGAAGCGCACTGCTTCTGTCACTGAAACCTATTCAGATTTCTCCAAGTATCCTGAGAAATCCCATTGCTTTGGACAAATCCATAAGCTCTCTTATTGCTCTGTGAGGCACAGTTTTGAATTACTGTTTTTCATTACTGATGTGCTTTCTAGCAGACCCTGCTGTGAGATAAAGTGGTATTAGAGTGGCATTACCGGCTGGTGGAGTGATTGAGAGACGTACGGGGCTGCAATATACTCCTTGAGCTAACAGGCAGCAAAATATCTAGAAACTCTTTTGCTAATATCAGGAAAAGGAAGGGCAGAAAAATAAAACACCATATATTCCTAAGCTATACATATGCAAATCCCCAAATACCTGCCACTGACCAAATTCTACATTTCAAACTAAAAAAGGAAACTCTAGAGCTGATGTAAGCAGTACCAGGAACATTTCAGGCCCTCCTGAGAGGCACAGGACACCGGGCAGTGCTAACACAACCCTGCAGATTCCAAGTCAGGGCACCTTGCAGCCAAGCAGCATAGAGAGCAGGAACTGCAGCCCCAGGCCTTCTGCCTCCACCCATATAGATGCATCCTGCTGTAGGGCAGCTTCAGCTGCCACTGTTTCAGGGGATTCCCAAAAGCACCTTGATGACTTGGCAGCAGCAAAAGACACGCTACATCTTGAGCGTCGCACTTTCTCAGAGATATCGCTGTTACTGGTAGTAGGAGGATTCCTGCCTGGGTGCTGGTTCTGAATACAATTCCAGTCAGAGGTTACTGGAAGCCAGAAGTAGCTGTTAGGCTGAAATGCTTTCTCACGTGCACATCCACACTGCAGGATGCCTAAGCATGAAGCAGAGCCTTAGAGGACTCTGTGCCACCCAGACACAGCACAAAAAGATGGCAGGAGAGACAGAAGGTCAGACAAGAGGAGGAAAAATGAACATGAGTAGCCTGGTCAGCAGTGGCCTCAGCACTCCTCTAACCAAGCTTGGGTTTCTGTAGCTTTCTAGGACAAGGAGCATGCAAAGGTTTGCAGATGTTCCCAGGCAGCTCCTTCTGAATGTGACTGGACAACACTGGGGAATGGCTCAAGAAAAATTTATGAAAATGTTTCTAAGTGGATGGCAGACCTCCCTGCCTACCCAGGGATGCAAACGGATACGTAGGAGTGAGCAAGAGACAAACAATGTGACAGAGGCAGGTCAGGAAGGGTCTGGAGAGCAGGTAAGTTCACTAGCAGAGGCTGGGCCAGTGGAGGGCTGCAGAGATGCAAGTGAAGCAGCAGGCAGGAAAAATGAGTGCTCTACAAGGAGAAGAGCAAGTCCTGCATGAGGCCAGAGTGTTGTAGGAATAAAAACACAGGATGAGAGCACAGATGACAGCATTAGCTGCGAAGATGAATAGAAGAGGCCATGCCATAGAGATGTGACACTGAAAGGATTCACCTAGAAGCCAGAACTCAGCAAGATGTATGGGATGACACTGAGGATACCGCCCTGCACAGCAGGCAGATCTGGGTTTGCTGTCCACAGGCGGGACAAGAGAGACGCCCAGGACGTGCTGGCAGACAGCTAGAGGGAGGAGGAGGATCAGATATACAAAGTCCGGGATGCCAAGGCTTCAAGCAGAGCAGGGCCAGCCATGTCTGAAAGGACTGACAGGCTGAGGGAGGTCAAGTGAAAGGACTGTAACAGCCATAAGCCCAGTTAGAAGGGGATAAAGGGCAGAAGAAACACCAGACTGAAAGCAGCGGTCTCAGCCCAGGGCCAACAGCATGAAGAACCACTACCAGAGCCCCATGCTCAAGTTACCAGCTCCCTGAAGAGCTGCTTCTCTCCCTGTAAATTTGGCGAGTCCCCCAACAAGAACTGGAGCTAGAAACCAATAGAGGGAGCCAGGCCACCACTGACGCCAGTCCCAGGTCTGGCATTCTCTGTCCAGCTAACACTTTCTCAGGCTGTTTCCGTTCCCCTGTCATCAGGGCTTTCCTTAATAAAGGTAAGCTTTAATAAAGGTAGCTGCTGCTGGCTAAAGGGGTCAGAAGATCAAGGCAGTGCTATCTTCCTAGCCTGAGGAAAGCGTGCTCATGGTATTGCACTGCTTGCTAATCCCTGGATCTGTTGGCTAATTTCAGTTGTATTTAACATCAGGTGGAAACCTGAGTGATAGGAAGCTCCTGAGCTGTCATGGAAATAGGCAGCTGAGCAGAGAAGTGGGACTTCAATCAGAACTGCCAGGAAAGACAAGACTGCAAAGCCGGCTCAGTTCTACTCTTGGAGATGAGACAACTGACGTGCAAGTGCCCACGAAAACTTGAGCAAGAACTCCTGTCTCCCCAGATATCAGATACTTCACACCCACAGCATGAAGACATAGGAAACTAAACTTCTTAAGCTGTGCTATCTGCAAGATTGTATTTTCCCCTTTGAAAGGCACAAGCAGAAGTGATGGACACAAAGGTAAGAATATCAGCCCACAAAACCCTGCTGCGTGTATGCAATCTAACCTGCAGCGGCCACAAAGAGGAACTCTTCTCTCTTGCCTATAGATGTCCTCCCCGCAGACTCAGAAATTTAATAATACCATTCCCTCTCCTCAGCCTGGCCCTGTGCATTGACATACTGCTTCTGTCAAACTAGAAGCACGCTGAAATAAACCAGGGAATACACAGCTTTCACTTCATTCTGTTCCTCATTTCCCTATGCCTAACTATTTCCTGCTGCTCTCAATGTAAGATCTGAAGGCAAGTAGGAGGGACTGTCAGCACAAAGTCTCATGGGGAAGAAGGGAAGCGATCAGATTTGCAGGATGGCATGCGCTGCCAAGTCATTTCTCACTCGGCTCCAGTAATGACACCCATCTTCCTTCACTGTCAGTGACCAAAGGAAAAGTGAAATAGAAGCAGCAGCAAACTTGTGAATTCCTACCTGGTTTCACAGTTATGTAGAAATCATATAAAATGTAGAAAGGTCCACTACATTATTTAATGGCTTTTCTACTAAAAACAAAAAAACCCACCAACAATGCCCTAACCCTCTTTTGAATCTTACATATCCTCCCACCTAGGAAAATCTATCACGAGAACAAAATATTTTACTAACAAATTACTAAGTAAGCCATTCCGCTTTCCACAAGATTTTACAACAGCACCCAACAAATTCACAGCAGATCAGCCAACTTAAGTAAAAAGACTGTTAAAAACACATTTGAAGAGAAGAGAAGAGAAGAGAAGAGAAGAGAAGAGAAGAGAAGAGAAGAGAAGAGAAGAGAAGAGAAGAGAAGAGAAGAGAAGAGAAGAGGAGGAGGAGAGGAGGAGGAGAGGAGGAGGAGAGGAGGAGGAGAGGAGGAGGAGAGGAGAGGGAGAGGGAGAGGGAGAGGAGAAGCCTTCAAGGTAAGTGCCAAAAAGCTATCTGAAACATCACTCTGCCAAAGGGCTTCCACTTGATTTTAATTCTCACAGGAATCCTTACCTTTGAGCATTTCTCCAATACTTCCTCCTTGAACTGCAGGAACTTCTCCTGGATGGCGGGCTGGTTGAGAGCGAAGGACAGGAAGTGTGTGAAGGGCTGCTTCTTACGGAAGCTGTCCAGGAGAACATCGATCCGTGTTCGGGCAGAGATGACACAGCTGCGATGCTGCCCTGTAATCACTACAGGGAAACAAAGCAATACCTGTCTGGTTTCTGTGAAGCTACAGTGAGACTACTGACGCCCATGCAAAATAAAGAGTAACTGAATGGATCATGATTTTACACAGTGTTTATCTGTGCACTTTAAAATATCAGTATTGGAGGATATTGTGAATATTTCATCCAGGAGATGCCAGGAGGGAATTAGAAAAACCTGCAACAGCATCTCTCTACTGCTAGCCCTGGGCTCACTGGAGAAGCAACAGGAATTAAAACTCCCAATCACGCACCTAGAAATTTTGCCAGACTCCCCACTTGACTTAAAATGCCTGACACGGCTGTGCTTTCCCCTGTAAGGACAGGATGATGCCATCAAAAGTATCCCTCTGCTCTCAGGTCAGCTCTGAGTGCCTAAAAAACAGTAACTAAGAGTCTATCGCTTCAGCAGCTCTTCAGATTTCTAGTGCATTACTTCAAGTTTTCATAAAGACCATCAAAGTGAACAAGAAAAGAAAATCTGTCAAAGATCAAGATGGCCTATATCGTTTGTGCATGCACTTCAAGGCAACAAACAGAGAACACTTGAGCTTGAAAAGAAAGAACTGCAAGGAGCAAAATTGTCTTGGCTTCCTATTATTACATGTTTTCAACATCTCTCTAATAGTCCTTCAGGGTTCTCAGGAAGAAGTCAAGACTTCTTGAGAAGTACTACCACGTTCTTGTGCGGCACAACAGTTGGATCCCCCTGTCACTTACTCCTCACAGCTCTGTCACGAACGTAACTGTACACCGTGCCAATTATCACCGGAGTGTGTGTAAGGGGTCCTCCAGACATCCACTCAGGCAGAAACTCACACAGACCAGCAGTTATGAGCAATGCCTCCTTTCTTTTTAAGTCACTGGGCGTGATGAAAAGGAACATACGGTACTAGAAAGCCTGCTCTTGCTATCAGGATCAAGTGACAACACCAGAAAGGCAGCAATGTCATTAAAACACTTCTCATATTATAGCAGGTGCTGAAGTTTATTTCATGCATAAATATACAATATAGTGTTTTTCCTGAATGTACATTACAGCTGATTATTAATGAAAATTGTATTAATTTAAAAAGAAAACAGCAATGAAACCCCCAACACATTCAGGCCCAAAGTCCTCAAGCCAGTCATTTAGGGCACAGAAGTGACTTTAGACTATTCATAGACTTAAAATAGATTTTTTTTTCCAAAGAAACCCTTACGCTGCTTTATAAAGATCTATAGACAGGGAAAATAAACTCAGGAGAAAAGTGATTTTCCAAGGGCTGTAAATGGAGTCAGTGCCATGACAGAAGGAGGAATTAAAGGAAAAACATTGCCTATGCCCCCTCCCACTCAAATCGTGCCTGGGAAGCGCCAATGAGAGAACACCCATTTTGTGCATATTAAAGCTCACCAATTTCTCCTTCCACTCCAGGCTTGGGAATGCTGATGGAGGTTCGAGTCTCTGTTTCTAGTCTCTTCTTGGTTTCCCCTTTCTTCCCAATGATGTACCTGGAGGCATAAAAGTGCAAGAGTCACTCACACAGCACTGCTGGGCCACTCTCCATCAAGCGTGTCCAGCCAGCAGAGGAATCATGCCACAGGCAGCTGGGTCCTCCCCAGATTTGGTATATCCACGCTAGAGGGACGCACACACTCAGCCTCACGCACAGGATCTTGTCCAGACACAGAGGCTTCTTCCAGGACTCCGCGTGTGACCAGCCTAGGAGCTCAAGATGATGTTGAGCCATGGCTCACAACTGGCTTAAGCTAAAATAAATCAGTCAGTCCATGACAGCTCTGCCTAGCACATCCTGCCACAGCTTACTCGTCAGCTGGGTTATCCCTTTTTCCCCATTACCCCAGCTACCAAAGGGTAATGGGCTCTTCTTCTGCTTTTTGCTTTGTTCAAGGTAGTCATTCGGCAGCATCCAAATACACAACAGAACACTTTTCCTTCTCTACATTTCAGTAAAACTATTCATCCAATAAAATTGTCAAAAATAGCTAGATAAAGGTCTGAACACTACAGGCTTCCCAGTAAAGATCAGATTGGAGTGACCAGTCAATTCCAGCTATGTGTGCTTTCTCTCAAAGCTTTCACAAACTCGCCCCAGTTCTTCCTCCCCTTCACCCACCCTCCCTGACGCTTTTATGTTCAAGGGAAGAGATGCTCAAAAACTCTCCTGCCAGCAAGAAAGCACCACCTGCTGTCTCTGTCACAGGGAAGGCTAGGAGTCAAGCATGGCCCAACTGCACTAGAAAGGCACTGCCAATTTTTCCTTCCCAAATGCTAAAATCCACATCCACAAAACGGAATAAATTTCGGAGATCTGGCACTTATCCTGACTTCAAAAAAAAAAAAAAAAAAAAATTCTGCACTCAACCACTTCCCCAGCCAGCAGCAACTCAAATAAACCAGAAACACATAGGCTCACTTGTATAAGGGGCTAGGAACCTCCACTCTGCACTGGAAGCCTTTCTCAGTCTCTTCCACCACAAAGACATCACAGGGTTCATCTGTGCAGTCACTGGGGCCTACCAGAGAAAAAAAAACAACAGACCTTGCACAACCTCTGTTAAGTCTAGCAGTGCTTTATGTAGGACACGAGTTTCACAGCCGCCTTGTCCCAAGGTTAAATAAAGGAAAAAATGGACTCCCCTCTGGTGCAGCTAACTGCTTTTTATTTCACTTTACTACCAACTCCAGAAAGCATAATGACTGCTTCTAAATGTGCCGGGCTGGGAGGTGCAGGAAAGCAGCAGTTACAGCCCAGTTTTTTTCTCAGCTGGAAGTTGTGCAACCACCCAGTGGGAATGGCCTCTTCTTCTGGCAGGGTGGAAGCTACCAGCCCATTCAGAGACCCAAGCAGGAATTTAAAGCGCAGAAGAATACAAATAAAAGGTGAGGATAGGTTTGGTTCAAGGGTTTGGGTACAGTGTTTTGGAAAACAAAGAAATTCTCACACCCTCAGCACAGAGAAATAGATGCACCTTTCATCCGTGGGCCATTCAGTTATGCCTGTTAGGAGTGAACACGATTTCCAGAAAGGGGCCTCCTCTCCAACACATACAGGGATGAATTTGGGTGGCAGGCAGCTTATTAAAGCTTTGTTCAATCCATTGAAAGGCAGGGTGGAGGGAAAAACAGGACACAACAGCCACAACCCTCTCCATTGGAGAAGTAACAGCTGAGCTTTTCTGTGCCCATAACTCATGCAGAACTACAACAGATGTACAGACAGAAAGATAAAGTAAAATACATCAGAACAGGAAGAATTTTGCCCCCAAAATAGGCAACACCTTCCAAAAGCCACATTATAAAAGGCCAATTCTTCAAGGGGCAAACATTGCAAGGACAGAGAATCTTAGCGAGCAGCTTCACTCCTGCCATATCTGCAAATACTCACACTACTGAAAAGAAAGGTGCCTCAGGAACCTGAGGACAACAGATCTGCAGCACTAATTTGTTTTCCCCTTTTACTGGAGATCTATCACGGCCAGCAAACAAAATGACAGTCAGGAGCACAATCACCCAAACCCACATTAGGTAACTGGGATTACATCCACTCTTTGGTCAGCAGGATCATCAGGGACCAATGCAAAGCATTTTTCTCCCTCTTGAACACCTCACTCCACCACACCAGCAGGTCCTTGAGCACATAAAGGCACCAGGGAGAACACCAAGAGTTCGCTAGGTCCCCAGTGTCGATGTTTTCACCTGTAGCACTTCCTGACAGCACCACGGTCACCCCTTGCGCAGCACTCTACCTGCACAGAAATCCTCCTCCTCATGCTGGTAGGCCTGCTCTTGAATGAGATTCTTCCTGTATATTCGCCCCCCGATCTTTATCAGGGTGGGCCGTAGAACGTCCATCCTGCTCCTCCTCCTAATGCAAAAACAAAGACAACTTTGCTAACTGATGCCAAGGACATTTTGATGTTTCCTCATGGATAATCTGTAAGAGCCAACAGGGGAGCTCTGAGGGGCTCCGCAGTGAAAAGTGAGGTCTGTACCTCCAGAAGAGCAATAACTCCTCCTATACATATATGCAAGAAATTTCAGAAAAGTAATACCTTCCCAAACCTTATGTCACTTACTGAAAGACTAATTTTATGAGAACTTACAAGCATACTCTTTGTCAGCTCATAAAGCACAATCAAGTAAAAATGGGAAATTTAAGCAACATCAGATACGTAACAAAGCATCAGAGTTTCTCATTGTGGCCTGAGTCAATGCGTCATCTTAAATTAACACCATGCAGGACTCTGAACAGCTTCACATTGTTAACTTGCCATAGCTGCAGACCAGAGACCCCAACCTCTCGCAAGGAATCCCCTACAACATGAACCTCTCTCAAAAATACCTGCCATCCTCCTCTGGTTTCTCAAAGGCCTAAGGTGCTTTTCAAAAGCAAACCCAGCTCCCTGGATCTGCTCGGGAGGCAGCCATGGAAGGGAAACAAAGCGCTCCGAGGGGTCGATGATGGCTGGTATAAGCAGTTACACCTCCTGCCCTCCACCTCAGAGCACCCTGGTAAATTTGAGGCATACACATAAATGTCTTACACTACCCTGCATTATTCCACTCAGTATTAGAAAGATGGGACACCGAATTAAATATTTTACAGTTGAGAACTGTATGATGTAAAAGTAACAGGGCAACCCAAAGAACCAGTAGTCACCCATCAGAGACTTTGCATCTTCGGTGCTTAAATTTCTACATTCATTGAAACTGCTGGATACCTCAGTTTGCCTCATGTTTTCAGAAGAGAAATTTGTGTTACTCAGCAAACAAAGTTTCCACCAAAAAATGTGCCTTCATCAGAAGGTTCACCTGTCCACTACAACAGAACCTGACAGGAAAAAAATGAAGACCTTGCCTTTGAAGATGAATTTATCCTAAACTGGATTTATCGTATGGAGTGACCTCAGGTTCAGAAGGTTAATGCTTCTCCCCTCTATTAAAAGCCCCATCTTCCAAAATGACTTACAACCACCTGAACTTACATTGAATTAAGGCATTTCTGCAGTTCAAGGACAAAAGTGTAGATGTGAACTGTGCACAGAGGAAGACAGAATATGCCACAAAAAGCCCACGCCATTGTTGAGGGTGGGCTGTTGGTTTTTCTGTTCCCACTCAGGCTTGCTTTTTCTTTTTTAAATCGTAGAGCTGGTGTCACAATTTCTTGGTACAGGACTTTTAAAAGCTCAGGTGCCACTGTGCCCCACCACGCTAAGCAAAGCCTGACGAGGGTCTCGGCTCTACACCCACGCAGGAAGAGGGATGCTGCCACGGCGTGAGTGCCTGAGAGATACAAAGCAGCTGGGGCCGCAGCCCAGGCCCGGGATGAGG